ACAGAAATATTACTAATATTTATTTATTTATTAAATGAGAAAAAGCTTTTTAAAATAATGAAAATAACATAACATGAAAAAGTCTTCAATTTAATTTGTATTAGTTGAATTTTATGTATCTCTCACTTAAAAACTAAGCTGTGTAGTCATAAAACCATTTTCAGAACCTGGAACGTAACTGGTGAAGCAGATTATATATAAAAGCGGCCTGCCATACAGGTGAGCTTCCTCATGCTGGACTGATCTGCTGCAGAGCAGAACCAGACTGCAAGATGGACTTTACTACTGAGACTTAAGAGCAAGCAACCATCCACATTTAGTTTCCACAGTTAACAAGAAAAAAAAGGTTTCTGACTCTGGTTTGAAGAGAAAAAAACAACAACAACAGAGTTGATTCACTTCGCGCCAGAGTGTGTGTGCGCGCATGATTTTTGCTTCACGGAGGACAATTAGAAAGTCCCCATGAGGATAGAAGAACAAGTGTGTGTGTGCGCACGTGGGGTGTAGAGCGGAGCGCTGTGTACCTGCTGCTAGATAGCTTTACGGGACATGGGGACTTTTTATTTCAGCGGGCAACCGCATCCCCCCTCCTCCTCGAGCGATTGGGCGCACCAGTGCGACCGAAAATATTTTTAAGGTGCACTATTAAAAAACAAGGTTGTATTTGCGACCAAATTAGTTGCACTCTAGAGCCCTGCATCACATGCTCAAAATCCAACACGAGAAGAGGTGATATCATGATACGTTCAACAGGTTGTTTTTACCACTGTGTGTTAGGAACAGAGTTCAGTCACATGCAGAGAGCAGGTGAACTGATCACTGTGTCTGAAAAATTTATTAATAATATTATATTTTGTGGTGCCGATTCTGTATTCTGTAACTATTAATCTTTCAGGGCCAGCACTGCTATTACACCAAACATACAGTATGTCTAATGAATATGTGTTTAATCTTTGCTTCTTTAGGCAGCCACAACGCAATAACCTACTGCCTGGATATGAATGACAGATCTCCTGTTGACCCCATGCAGCCAGACATGCTTCAAAAACTGGACAAATACATGAAGCCTCTCATTCGCCCCTTTGTGTACAAGTGGGCAATAACCCAAGTAATAAATCTTGACTATACATTGTTAAATATTTCTTATGTACCATAATATTTATATCTGTACATCTCATGTCACTCAGGAGTACACCATAAAGCAGCAGCTGGACTGTGGGGTCAGATACTGTGACCTAAGAATCGCACACAGACCCAACGACAGCTCCACCGACCTCTACTTCTACCACGGAGTTTATACCACGCTTACTGTCGAGGTAAAGTTACACAGAAATCACAGGAACATTGGTGCTTCTTTGCTGTGGTCGGCAACAGCTAACCAATAACTTAGCTTTGTTATCTGCAAACACACTAACTAAAAAAGTATTTTTGTTATCCTCCATCTTGCTAACTGAAAAGTTCTTTATCTGCCAACACACCAACTAAAATGCTATCTTTGTTATCAGAATCAGTTTTATTGCCATTGTCAATAAACAGGATTCACAGACCTGTTTGACATCCACATTTCCTTCCTCCTCCTAAAATGAAAGTTTTCTCCCAAAGATTATAGATTCACACGTGAAAATCTACAATTTTCAATTTTACACTGTGTTATTTGAACCGTTTGTGTTGAGTTTAAAAAATGAGCTATCCACAAAATGAATCCACAAACTATGGAGCTCTGTAAAGGCTGTATTATTGTTCTACTGCTTTATTTGCAGATATTTTATTTCTGTAAAATGTTAATGTAGCTATACAGTTTCTGTTTAAATAGCAAGAAAATAAATATTTGAAAATGACACACAGGGACTCTAATGGATTATTTGTGTACTTATTATTTTGGAAATTGATATCAAATCATTCAAATAAATATTGAATTAAATTAAATTGAATCAAAATAGAATTGAATTGTGACCCAAAGAATTATAATTGAATTAAATTAGAAACCCAGCCCTAACAGAACATGAATTCAGCTGTATGGATTGTTTGGAATGAATTTAATAATATAATGAGAGGAAGAGTAAAAGTTGGAGAGATCGTTATGTTAGAAGGAAAACAGTTTTTTTTATGGAG